AGGTCTGTAACAATTTCTCTAATACTACATGAGAGGTAATATTAGTTATTAACTAGGTTGGGAAAGGTTTTCTAGAAATATAACAGCATATTATTTCTATAGGGAAACATTTTAGAAATTAATACTCTCATAAGTTAAAACCTATCAAATATAAATGGTAAGACTGGCACAACAGTACGATGGCCAAACCACCTGGGTTAAAGTCAAATTCCACTGCCACTAGCTGTACGATTTTGGAAGAGTTACTCCAATTTTGCAGTGCCTCCATTTCTACACCTGTAGGACAGAGGTTTTTAAAAGAAGTAGGTAAAAAAGTAGAGATAAAAAAAAATTCAAGATTAAACTCTTCCCGAAGATTTAAATGAATTAATATGAGTAGGTAAATATTAACACCTAAATAATTGTCACTAATTAGTGTTATTGATGAAAAGTAAAATTCAATTTATCTACCTAACATTCTTCCACTTACCCTTAAAAGACTTAATCCAATCAATCCTTTGTGAAACTCTTCTTGAACTCCAAATTGACTATACCCTCCTTATCCCGTCAATGTGCATTCAAGTAAACAAATGATATTCAGTTTCACATATTCAGAATCACAGAACCTTGAACCAAACTATAGAGGTCATCTAGTTCTAGTTCAAGCACATTTTCCATGCCATATATGTACTGGACTTTCTCCAGTCATTTTTAAAAATACGTGTAGATGAGCAGATTGTTTTTTCATACTACCTAGAGATTTTTAAAAAATAAAGCCTTATAATCAGACATTAAGATCCTGAGTCTCAATATCAAAGTATCAAAAGCTGAAATGATTTCAGGTTTTTCTAAATCTTTTCTTTATGGGCAAAACACAAGATATTTAAATCTACTTTAACGATGGCATTACTAAGTCTTTTAAGTAACTGAAAGACATGAATGTAAAATAAGGATATTTTGAGTAAATGAATTGTGTCTTTCAAGAACTATAGTAACTTAAAAGACTAAAAATAGGTGGCAGAGCAGCACCTGGGTGGCTCAGCTGGTTAAGCATCAGACTTTGATTTTGGCTCAGGTCAATCTCAGGGTCCTGAGACTGAGCCCTCTGTCGAACTCCACACTCAGTGTGGAGTCTGCTTGAGATTCTCTCTCTCTCCTTCTCTCGAATGAATAAACCTTTTTAAAAGTAAAGGTAGCATAAATCAATCTATTAAATAAAATATTATCTACTATTATAGAGGTTTATTTAAAAAAAACTTTCCTGTTTACTATTTGGAAAAAAGGTTAATATTATCTTTATTGAAAGAATAATATAACTACAGACAATATGAACTTTGTGCCTATTACAGTATATTTTTAGGGTATTGTTCATAAATACGTACTCATAGGTACCAGGCATATATGCTAAATACATAGTCAAATTTGTTCCAATGTCACCTCTTCTTGAGGCTTTCCCTGAATGCCCTATCTAAAATAACTACACTAATAATTTTCTATCCCTTACCCTACTTTATCTTTGTTACATTTGTCATGTAACATTAACATATATTATGTCTCATTTGATTATCACCAGAATCTCCCAGTAAAACATAAACTGCACAAAGGCAAGACTATCTCTGTTTAATAAACAGTTATGGGATGCCTGGGTGGCTCAGAGGCTTGTTAAGCGCCTGCCTTAAGCCCAGGGCGTGATCCTAGAGTCCGGGGATCAAGCCCCACGTCAGGCTCCCTGCATGGAGTCCGTTTCTCTCTCTGCCTATGTCTCTGCCCCTCTCTCTCTGTCTCTCTCATGAATAAATAAATAAAATCTTAAAAAAAAAAGTTATATCCCTGTTGCCAAGAATACAGATACAGCTGATACAGTGCTTAACAAATAATGATTGACTGAATAATACTTTTGAGATAAGAGCATGATTTTTAAATGCTGAGTAAAACAAAATGTATAATCATATCAATCAAAACCAAGAGAATGTATATTTTACCAGAACTTCAACAATTTTTTCCCTGTAACTCAAGGGCAGGTGGTACATAAGGAGTAGAAAGACAAGTTTATTTCTTCAAAGTGTCTTTGCAGCAAGTTGTGTTCATGCTTGATTTAGTAACATGGGCACAATATTAAGAAAATAAAAAAATTCTCTCTTAGAAATAAACACTTTCAACTATCTTCTGATTTTCTAAAATCAACTAAATTTGCTTTACGTTTTTACTCTAGAACAAATGAAAGAACTAAACTATTTAAAAAGTGGACCAGGGATCCCTGGGTGGCGCAGCGGTTTGGCGCCTGCCTTTGGCCCAGGGAGGGATCCTGGAGACCCGGGATCGAATCCCACATCGGGCTGCCGGTGCATGGAGCCTGCTTCTCCCTCTGCCTGTGTCTCTGCCTCTCTCTCTTTCTCTCTCTGTGACTATCATAAATAAATAAATAAATAAAAATTAAAAAAAATAAAATAAAAAAATAAAAAATGGACCAAAGTCCAGAGAATAAGCTAGTTTTAAGAATCTTTAAAATCTTTAAAATAAGTAAATAATATAGAAGTCTCAAGACCTTGTTTTCCATTCTGAAGTAGTACTTCAGACAGTAGTGAAATACTTCCCCAAACATATGGACAAAGATCCCAAAGATTTCTACATGATGTATTTAAAAAAAAAAAAAAAAAAAAAGATAAAACAAATGAAACTTGAAAAATCAAAAAGATAAAGAAAAAAGGTGGAGACTAAATTTTATTTCATCAGAAACATATACCTATTCTGAAAAAGGTCCTAAAGTCATAGAATCAGAAATGTGAGAGTTAGATGGTGTTTTCATCTTCATCAAGCCGTACTTTTCTTATCTAGGAGGAAACTGGAACCCTTTCCTAAGGTAAGTGATTTTGCCAAATCCTATCACTAATAATGGACAGAATGTGGGTCTTCTGAGTTCAAGTACTATGTGCTTTGCACATCATTAGGTCCAAGCAATGCAAAAGTCCTTAATTTAACCAACCTGTAATCAAAATAAATTCAACCCCTCACTTCATTTAATGGCTAAACCCCATCTTTTGATATATTCCAAACACTTTGACCAAACTTGCCTTTACAGACATCAATTTCATGATCGGAAACACTAAAGTAAAGTAAATTAACACAGAAATGTAAGCAATACCAGAACAGATTCAACTACCTGGCTGGTAGTTGGTGACATTCTCCTAAGTGACATTTTGAGAAATCGCATGAGTTTACCTTAACCTAAAACAAAATTACAAGTTTTGAGTCTTCCTCTTACAGAATACTGGGAATAAATTCACATTCAGCTTCTTTGTGGCTATTTTAAATTTAAGGATTGTTATTGTATTTTTTATTTAACTTTTCAGAGCAAGAAGTCCAAAATTGAGCTTAAATTTAAGTGGAGATCTGAGTTTTAGTCCAGGCTATGCCAAACTATTATTACCTTGGGTAAACTGATGCTTATTTCTAGTCCTCAGATTCTTCCTTTATGTAAAATTAGGGTGGTGGGGAAGTAGAGGTAGAGAGGCTACCTCTTTGGCTCCTTCTCATTCTCCTATTCCCTATCTTTGTCTCCACTGATACAAAAGGGGGGGGGGAACCTCTTAATGAATACAGAGTGTTATTATTCACTGAGGTTAAACACCCACCCAGTGCCCAAAAGTGTCATAGGTTACATTAGCTGGTAGACTGCACCAGAAACCACATTTTTAAGCTCTTTCCTTTCACAGTTAAGTTTCTCAAAGTCATTGAGAAGTCCAACATCAAACACAACAGCTGAACAATGTCAACATTTGGTCCTGGAAAAGCATGGTGCACTGAGACTAAATTCCAAGACAGACTGCCCTCCGGATGAGAACCTGAAATCTCTTATATAGTCAAATAATTGACCATGTTGAACTTTACCAGACCCCTGTGATCTTGGAAAACAGCAAAGGTTTTAAGAAATGCCTCCCACCCCCTTTTGTGTTCTGGAAAGGGGCTTACTGCAATGAACCACCAGCCCCCATAGGACTTAGGGAAAAACTCAAAGACGTCCCACTTGTTTACCTATGACAAGGTCAAGGACAAAGCCCGCAACTTCCCATTCTCTGTTTCATCAGTGACCGGCTGAATGGCATGTCCCCGTAAATTAACTGGAACAAAATATCTGTTACTCAAATTCTGGTTGAGATCATCCTTCCCCAGGTTCCTGAACTTTGGCCGCCCTGGGTTTGAAGCTGTCAGTTTAACACAGCCCCTCCTCAGAACCGGCTGGACAGAGGGTAACACAATCTCTGACCTACTAGTCAACCGGTACTTCCCTTTCATCGCACCTCCCCACACACCTGGGCTCTTTCTAGGATTGTTTAACTCCTCCCTAAAGAGAGAGGAAAAAAAACACACACACACACACACACATTTTCTTGCTTAACTTTCGAGACCCTTGCGAATCTTACGGTTAGCGCATTCTTTCTATCTGCCCCAGCATTTGCGATATTCCTTACCAAATAAAAATCTCTCCTTATGAATGAAGCCTGAATTTTTCATTGGACAGACGGACACCCTTCCCGATTTCCAATGGGCTGAGCGTGCAAGGCAAGCCGACTTGGCCCTCTCTTTGAGTGACAGGTGCTGACCCTCTACGAAGGGATACGTTGTGACCACCTGGAGAAGCTAAAGGGATTTATTTCTAAGATCTTAAGTGCCCGGCTACTGCCGAGCAGCCGAAGGAAGAGGGAGGGGCGGCGACCGGGGAGCCCGGCAAGGTCAACTCCGGGACCACCTGGCGCCGCGCGCCGCACGCAGTGAATGGGCCACGGACCCTCGGCCGCCTACTCCGTAGCGCAGGCGGGCCCCAAGGCTGGGCGGGGCGGCTGCCGCTGCCTCGGGCGCCCAGGAGCCCCGGGGCGGGGGAGGGGGGCGGCCCCCGCGGCTCAGCCCACCGCCCCAGCCCGCTCCATCCTCAGCTGGGCACCCGACGGGCCACCTTCCCAGGACTGACCTCCTGGCCCCTTGCTCCCCACTGCTGTTCCTCCAGCCTTCACAGGAAGACTCACCATGGCGCCGCGGACAGGTCCTGGAGTCCCCGGGACCGTCCTGGACCTTCCCTCCCCACCCCGCCGCCCGGAGCCTCTTAAAACAACGCGAGGGACAGAGTTTTCCGGCTGTGACGGAAGTTCGGCCCGCGCGGGACAGGAAGTCCCGCCCCTCTCTCCTGAACGCCGGCGACCCCACGCCACGCAGAGGTGAGGAGACGCAGGACGTCCTCTCCTGCCACTTCCGTGGGTGCTGAGGGTAGAGGCTGGGGGCGGCGCCGACCTTGAGAGCGCGCGAGGGAGGCGCAGGCGCAGCACAGGTAGATGGGCGGGCGGCGCCCGGTGCAGCGCCAGTGAGGAGCCGGAGGTAGGCTGCGTGGCTGGGTCCCGAGTGCATCCTCGCCGTGGGGGGGGATGGGGGCGCAGGTTGATGACGGGGGCGGGGGGCGACCCCGCAGTGACGGAGGAAACCACGGGCCGTGCCCGGGCAGCTGGGACTACAGTCATCAATTGCTCCAGCTGAGCCACGCCCTTTCTTGTTACCTTTTCCTTTTGCAGGCTGCCCCTTCTTGGAGCCTTGCCGGATCTCCGCAGACCTGGCTGTCCCTGTGTCGTCCTTTCACCTGCCTTAGTGTGCCCTGCAGCTCTCCCCTTCCGCAGGGCAGTGGAATTTGATCGTGAGACGTCTCTTCACTGTTCCCGCAGACCAGTGGAAACCAGAAGAACACGGAGCAAGAGCAGAGAAACCAGGACAGTTCTGCCTACTTAAGACATTCCAGTATGGACGGTTTCCTTTTATTTAAAAAAAAAAAAAAAACTATATAGATCATCGGCTGGGAAAAAAGTGAAACTCCTTTGCACCCCTTAAATTTGTGTTGTCGGGTTTCCCCTCCCCCCCCAAAAAAAAATCTGTGCGCTTCAACTCTGTGCCTTTTTATGTGGTCATAAGGCACAGTCCTGGAGGCGTGCTTGAAGTGGATATACAGAAAACCTTGAACCCAGAATCTAGTCTCGCAACTTGGGGATCCGTGCTTAAGACGTGGCTGTATCTACAATTTCATTTATAGGATCTCCTTTTGCCGCTGTCTAGTTTTGCCCCAAAGGTGGAATTGGGAAGGTAAAGTAGGAGACTTCCCAAGAAGTCAAAAGTTTGGGCAGGCAGCGGGGGCTAGAGGTGTTGTTGCACCCTGCTTGTCAGGGTACCTGGAGAGCATGGCAGCCAATCCACGAGTGGTCGCAGGGCCCTTGGAACCACTTCTGAGCCATCCGCAAAGAAGCATCCATAAGGCAAATTGTTTTATAATAGAAAAGGGGCTAGAGACTGAGTGTATGAGTTGTTTTTGACTCTTAAATTTTCTCTTGGGGAGAGATGAATAATGTGACAGACTAGAGAAAGGACCTTGGAAGCAGCAGGCGGTGGGGTGGGGCTGGGAGATAGTTTGTGAGACAGACCTGCTGAGAATCCATCCAGAACTTCCCCGAGGGTCCTACCTCTGCTGGATAGGGACGACGCTGTAAATAGCCCCAGGGCATCTGCAGATGCTAAGCGTGGTAGAGAAGGACTGGAGTCGTTCTGCTTGTGTATCTGCGGGAAGCAGCTGCTATCCTTGAGGAAGAAAAGGTGGAGAAGGAACCTGGCTATCAGTCTGTCAGTGACAACACACTGTGTGAAGTCTTACTCTTTCATTTCTGACACTTTGGTTCTTACATCCGTCCTAAACCTGGCAGCCTCCTTGAGGTTCACAAAGCCTCTCCTCCATGTGACAGTAAGACAGGAATTATCAGGGTGGAATCCATTCCTGCCAGAGTAAAACCACGAAAGGAAATCACAGCCCGTATTTGTTACCTGCTTATGATTTTTAAAAGATCATGGGGTTCCTTATTTGGCATTTGACAAGTTGAAAATAACCCTCCGTTAATATCCTTTAATATTCCAGTTTCTGTTACAGTATGAAAAATCTGTTACAAGTGACGTTTTTTTAAAAAGATTAAAATGTATACCATGTATGTTTAAAGGCAGCATCTCCCGGTCTTTTTTTTTTTTTAAATCCCATAGGATATTTTATAATATTTTTACTTTCTACATGTGTTGTAGTTGAGGGATTTACCTATTTGTGTTCCCTAAAGTAGATGAGAGTCTTTGACAGAGATTCAAAGAAATGGGAAAATTATGAAAGGGAATAAAAAATGTGCATGATAGAAATTAGGAAGAAATTCAGTAGTCTTGCAAGGGAATCAGGAGTCCAATCATTGGTAAAGGTTTTGGCTGCTTATTATTAGGGCTTTGTTTTGAGTTGCAATGTCCTGAGTGAGAACTGTTCTCAAATACATAAGAACACCAGCAAAAAGTTACATCCTCCTTCAACACCCACACTGACCTGGAACACTTTCAGTCTTTAACACCTATCACTGTTTCAAAGGCCAGCTCCATATTCTTTGCAAAATGTTTACCTGATTAACTCCCCTTCTGAGAAATTTCCATTACTCTTGCTTTTCTTTAGTAAATACGATTATTATGTCCTTATATGATGTCTTTATACTTTCCTCCTAATATATATGGTTTTCCTTATAGTTTAGACATAAGTGCCTGGAAAGCTGGGACCTTCTTTTTGTGTTGACTACCTCCCCCTTAAGAAATACCATTTAAATGAATGTTATGGACAAAGTCACTTCAGTTACGTTGCTCTTAAAATGCTTTATGGACCAACCAAAGGAAAAAAAAAATGCTTTCTGAACAAAAATGTTAGTTGCAGCAATATTTAATAATGGTTAAAAAAATAGGAACTATCATTAGGAATAAGAGATTGGTCAAATTCTATCATGTATACTTAGTGGGATATTATTTACCTTTTTTTTTTAAAGTTATTAGTCTTTCTAATGGAAAAAGTTTGTCTTCCAAGTGAAAAGAGTAGGCTACAAAGTTGTGACCAGTATGATTGCTTTGATTTGGAAAAAAAAAAAAAATCCTAAACATAGAACAAAGTTAAAAAAGGAAGTTACCAAAATACATCAATCACCATTCCTAGAACTACCTTCTAAACCTTTCTGTAAGGGAGTAATTTCAAAATTTTTCTTTTATTTAAGAATGGATAAAAGGAGCTTCTTTCTTTCCTAAAACTATGCCTCTCTATAATTCTCATCTTACTAATTTGGGAAAAACAAAAGAAAAATGCTCTTCAGAAGTACATTGCAACCCTTTAATAATTCAGTAGCTTTCCTCTGAAACTTTATTTATATATTACCAAAGTTGCATCTAGGATCACACCACATACCTAATTAATTACAGGAACTACTGCAAATTTTACACAAAGTATACTCTGCACATTTTCAAAGATCGTTAACATATATAAACGGGATCTTAGTTTCATGTGATACCTTTTGCTACTCGGAGAGTCTTTAAACAGCCAACAAGAGCAATAAACAAAATCATAATACCTAACTGCTTAAAAACTAAGTTAACTTTTTCATTCATTAAATACTAAGTATCTATTGTGTTTCAGTCACTGTTCTAGACTTGGAGAAATAATGGTAAATAGTCCCTAGACACTTAGTCCCTACTATGAGGGAATTTACATTTCAGTGGTAATAGACCATAAATAAAAACATAAGGTAGTAATAGTGCTAGGCAAGCAATTAAAATAGATGGCTTTTAGATGAGGTGACTGAGGAAAGCTTCTAAGAAAGCACCATTTAAGCTCCTATTTGACAGGAAAATCCAGCTTTTCAAAAATTGAGGAAACCATGCTTGCAGAGGGGACAGTAGTACAAAACCTTGAGGCATGAACTAATATGGAATATTTTAGGAACCAAAGAAGCCTAACTGTTGGGAGCATGGTGACTAAGAAAAGAGTAAGTTTAGGGAGTATGAAGGGGCTAAGTCATATTGGCATTGAAAGCCAGGAAAAGATTTGGATTTTATTCTGAGTGTGATGAGAAAGGCATTTTAACCTGAGAAGTGGGATGAGATCATATATTTTTTAAATCTACTCTGATAGTATTTTTTTAATTGAAGTGTTTAATCCACTTACATGTAACACAGTTACTAATATGCTTAGATTTGAATCTATTAAGATAGCATTTGGTCTTTATTTGTCCTATGTCTCTTATGTCAATTTTGTCCTTTTTTTGCATTCTTTTAGGTTGATTAATTTTTTACTTCTATTTCCTTCACCCCATCAGCTTGAGAGTTAAATATTCTTTTAGTAATTTGTATTGTGCCTCTCCCATCTGTTGGATGGTACAACAACCTGAGAACACATCAACTATATTTACCAACCCCCCTCATGTTACATACATAGTGTATACTTAAGGTCTCCAATTCCTAAATACATCATTTTTACACAATTACTCTGCATTTATATTTATTCAACCATTTACCTGTCTCTTGCACTTTATGACCCTGAGTTTCTGAGCCTCTATCTAGGATCATTATTTCTTCTTCCTAAAGAACATGCTTTAGTATTTCTTTTTATAAATATCTGCTGCTAATAAAGTCAATTTTTGTATCCTGAAACTTTATTTCACTCTCATTTTCAAAAAACATGTTTACTGAATTAGCTATTTTATCATTTTGAAGATACAGTCCATTGCTTCCAGCTTCCGTAATTTTTTTGAGAAATAATGTCAGTTTTATTTTTGCCCCTTTAAAAGTTATCTCTTTTTTCTCTGGCTGCTTTTAAGCCAGAAGCAGTTTTATTATGATCTAACTAATGTTTTGGATTTTGTTTGTTTTCTTTCTGAGGTTTGTAATGCTTCTTGAATCTGGGATATAATGTTCTCATGCTATTTTGAAAAATTCCCAGTTCTTCTACTGCTTCTCCACCATTCTTTCCTCTTCTCCTCTTCTGGTACTCAAATGTATGTTAGATCATTTCACATTATCCCTTATGTATCCATTCATTTGCCTCTCATGGTTCATTCTGGATAATTCTTACCTTTCTTTGAGTTCACTGCTTCCTTTTGAATAGTCTCTCACCTGTTAAACCTATCTGTTGAACCATTTATTTCAGTTATTACTTTTTTGGTTGTTGTCAGTGTGGGCATTTATGTTTGTTTCTGTTTTATGGTTTCTAGTTGTCTACCAGTTATCTATTTCAATCTGATCTTTTATTTTTCTCAAACACATTAAGCATGATTATTTAAAACCTGTGTCTAACTATGGGGTCTGCTATTATCTGAAGATCCTTTGTTTCTTCTTGTGGTTGTTTATCATATTGTCTCATTTACTTATGTATGTCTCATATATATTTTTTAAGTTTAATTATTTATTTATTTATTTGAGTAACCTCTACACGCAATGTGGGACTTGAACTCACAACCCCAGAACAAGAATCACATGTTCCTCTGATTGAGCCAGCTAGATGCCCCTATTACTTGTATTTTTTATATTACTTATGTTATTTTTATTTATAACATTTTGTTAAGTTATGTTGTTATTTTTAATTGAATGCCAACTATTATGGGAAGAAATTATACTCTGAGGTCTACAATGATATTTTCTGCAGAAAGAATTTATGTTTCCTGGCTGGGGTTTTAGGTACTAGTAAGCTAAAATTACTGTAATCAAGTCAGAGATTGAGATGATTAGACTCTGAGCAGGTCTTCTAGTTCATACGGGGTATAGATTTTTGGGGTCTCAACTTGAAGTCTGTAGAGTTTACCAGAGCAGGCTCTGAACTCCAGTTTTTGCCTTTCTAACTCCAGTCGGAAGTGCTATTCAAGCTCTGTTCAGGCTATCTTCTCAGGAATCAGCAAATACCTCAAAAGAAAATCTGTCATGAATGCTAGATTCATCTTTTTTTTCCCCAGATTTTCCACTGCCTCATTAGCTCTCTAATGCTGTCAGATGTTTGTTTTATATTTTGTTCAGCTTTTCTAGTTGTTTCCAGAAGGAGGACTATTCTAAATTATCAAGTCCCTCATTACAAAAAGTAGAAATAAAAAATATTTTAAGTACACATGAATCACAAAATTTAATCATTAAAAACTTAAATTTTCAAAGAATTGATATTAGATATTTTCTAATCACAATATGATTAGTTTTATAGAAATCAGTAGCAAAAATCTAGGAAACCATATATCTGAAAAACTCATTCTCATGTAAGCTGGACCAAATTCATAGGATTCTCAACAAAAAATAGAAAATATGTATTCAGAACTGAACAATAACAGAACTACTACATATTAACACCTATAGAATGTAACTAAAACAGTACTTACAAGGAAATTGGGAACTTCAAATATTAAATTAAGGAAGACTGAAAATTAGAGATTAATAATCTGCCCTATGCCTGAGGGATTAATTAGGAAAAGAGTGTTGGAAATAAAAATGAATAAAACAAAAAGCAAATATTCAATACAGAGAGGCAACAAAGTCAGAGGTTTTACCTTTTAATGATAATATTGACAAATTTTCGACAAGATTACCCAAGAAGAAGCAGACACAATATTAGGAACGAAAATGGGGGGTGGGGGTGGAGAATCCCTGAGTGGCTCAGTGGTTTAGCACCTGCCTTTGGCCCCGGGCATGGTCCTAGAGTCCCGGGATCAAGTCCCACATCAGGCTCCCTGTGTGGAGCTTGCTTCTCCCTCTGCCTGTGTCTCTGCCTCTCTCTTTCTCTGTGTCTCTCATGAATAAATAAATAAAAATCTTTAAAAAAAAAAGAAAATGGGGACATTATTACAAATGCTATAGAGATTCAGAAGATATCATGAACAATTTTATCATAATAAATGGTAACATATAATTGCAGTAGATGCTTCCCAGAAAAATGTAACTTTTCAAAAGTTATTCAAGAATAGAAAATATGAATGATCTGATTACTATGTAAGAGATTGAATTAGTAGAAATTTTTCAAAAAAGAAAACATTGCCCAGAAAAAGACTTTAAAAAAAATTAACATAGACACAGATAAAACCTTTGACAAATTAGAATAAAACCTATAACAAATATATTTAACAATGAACTTTTTGAAACAGTCCTTTAGAATCAGGAAAAAGTACCATATTGGAGATCCCAG